AGCATGAACGATTTGTGTTTTCATGTATTTTGCCCCCTGAATGTAATTAAGCAACTATGAAGCTATGGCCCTGAATATAGAGAAAACACTTGCACAAAGTGAAGGCAGTTACATATTACTTCCTGGCTCAGATTGATGGGGAAAGATTTGAACTCTACATTTACTTTTAGCTTTTGAAAACAACATATCTTTCAATTAAGCAGAAAAAGAAAAAAACAAAGAAAATAATTCTCACTATTAAAAATCTAGTAATCTCCTGCTTTCCAGGGTCAATGAGAGTCTCCTCACTATCAACGATCATTTAAGTAACATATGGAAACAACTGAGGTTTCGAGTAAGTTGTTTCCATTAGAAAGTGGTAAGTAAGATATGGTATTTAGGCAAGGAGTTTCTTTGCACTACTCCCCTTCTATGCAGGAATGTCTCTGACCTTGCAGCAAAGGTCTGAGCAGTGGAGATGTTTGTAGGACAACTCAAAAGCATTTTCACAGAATCACAAAATCACAGAATTAGAGAATGGCCAGGGTTGGAAAGGACTTAAGGATCATGAGTCTGCAATCCCTATTGCCACAGGCAAGGTCACCAACCTCCACATTTAATACCAAACCAGGCTGCCTGGTTCCCATCCAACCTGGCCTTGAACACATCCACAGACGGGGCATCCACAACCTTTCTGGGCAGCTTGTTCCAGCACCTCACCACTCTCTCTGTAAAGAACTTCCCCCTGACATCCAACCTAAATCTTCCCTCCTTCAACTTAATACCATTTCCCCTTGTCCTGCTGTTATCTACCCTTTCAAAGAGTTGATTCCCCTCCTGTTTGTAGGCTCCCTTTAGGTACTGGAAGGCTGCAATGATGTCACCCCACAGCCTTCTTTTCTCCAGGCTGAACAAGCCCAGCTCCCTCAGCCTGTCTTCATAGGGGAGGTGCTCCAGTCCCCTGATCATCTTTGTAGCTCTGGACCTTCTCCAACAGCTCTTTGTCTTTCTTTTGAGGGCTGGGGGCTCCAGACCTGGACACAGTACTCCAGATGGGGCCTCATGAGAGCAGAGTAGAGGGGAATAATTACCTCCCTGTCCCTGCTGGCCACCCCTCTCCCGTCTTCTACCATTTGTTTTCCGAGCTGCAAGAGCACACTGCTGGCTCATGTTAAGCTTTTCATCCACCAAGACTCCCACGTCCTTCTCTGCAGGGCTGCTCTCAAGGACTGCTCCTTCCAGCCTGTATGGATGCTTGGGATTCTTCCGGCCCAAGTGCAAAACCTTGCACTTTGCTGTGTTGAACCTCATTAGGTTCACCCAGGCCCACCTATCAAGCATGCTGAGGTCCCTCTGAATGGCATCCCTTCCTTCCACTGTGTCCATTGCACCACTCAGCTTGGTGTCATCACCAAACTTGCTGAGCGTGCACTTGATTCCGTCACCAATGTCATTGATAAAGATGTTAAAGAGCACCAGTCCCAAGACAGACCACCAGAGGATGCCGCTTGTTATTTTCACAGTTGAGTAAAATGATGTAAAATACATCTAGCTAATAGCAATAAACTTTGTATGTATCAGTCATGTCATTCATTATGGATCACTAAAAATAAATACTTCATTTAGAAATCACCATTAATGTGACAGAAAAATAACATTTTTATAAAAGCATATAAGCAAAATTTTTAAAAAACAGCAGTCCTTAAGTACACAGTAATACAAATTCTCTACATGAGTTTGCTAAAATTTAATAAAGTCATTTACTCCTAAAACTCTGACATGGAACTAATGCCAAAATATTCCACATCCTATATGGGAATTCTTAAATTTAGGATTACATTAAGCCTGCTATATAGTTGTGTTGTGTTAACCTCATGACAAGCCCACAACAACAACAAAATGCCAAATATTAACAATGCAGAAAGAAATTCAAAGCTTCTCACATACTCACATTACAATGCCTATGTTACAACTACCAAAAGATATCCTTGCAAGCTAGGCTGCGTATGTAGCTGGTCTTGGAGAATATATCCTCTCTGCTATTCTCAACAAGCAAAGAGAAAGTATCAGCCATATGCAGTAAGGGTGTTTTGTCTTACTCTTCAGGATGACAGAACACCAAAGGAGAATGGCTCCACTTGGAAAACATTCTTCTCTTTTTCTTTTGGTCCAAGCTTGTGGACTCAAAGATTTCCATCTGCCAGTACTCTTCCTGAGAATAGCATAATGCAAAATACCAGCAGGTAGTACTAACAACTGTTATGAAGATCAGAAACATGCTTCCTGCACGCAATCTCCTGCTCTTCCTTATGGGACACAGTTTAAGGAAACCAGAGAAGCTAGTCTGTTCTGTTCTGAGATGTCAGATAGCAACCAGACCTCCTCACCTCTTCCAAACAGCAAAGCAAAAGAACTACAAAAATCAACACTGGTTTGTACTAATTTTGGAAATGTTTGTTATCTTATGAATGAAGCTATCTTTTGGCTTGAAGAACTAAGGAAGAATAAATGAAAAAGTGAAGTTTGGGCAGAGAGAAAGAAAATTTCTTCCCAAATGCAAGCATGGGCATAGAATCCTTGATTAGATATGTAGCCATCAGCAAAAGGAAAAAAGAAAAATGCACTCCTTGGTTTCCAGACACTGCTGAAACACTATTTTTATTATTTCCTCTGTTCTTGAAAGAAGAGAGAACTGATATTTTTTATGCTGGTCTATGACCTGGAAGATTGGGGTTCATCTTCTGTGTGTCATTCTGACCAACTGCACCTTTCTTGGGAACCCCAGAGATGTGCTATCAGGTTCCCACATACAACAAGAAACAAACAAACCTAGAAGCTTTTTGTTTAATCTCTGTAATCAACAGTATAATCCCATTTTGGCTTAATTATTTCAAAACAGCTACGCAAAAATACTTAGGTGCTTTCCAAGTCCCCTTACATTTGATTGAATACCTACAAACTGTCTATGAAAACCCTTTGATAAATGAAGAGATTGCACTCCCTCATGTAAATAATATACTGTAAGGATGGATCCTGTATTACAGCAGTCCTTAGCAAGGAATTTATAAAAGCAGATTAGTTTGAGAGTTTGGCAACATTAAGGTGAATAATTCTCTTGCTAAGAGCAATTTTAAAAAACTGCAGAAGTCAAAATGCTTAACCAGTGTCAGCAGGGTATTAGTTGGCATGGTCTGCTGAGGGGACTGTACAATTCTCAGTTTTTGAGAATGATCAATGGATATATTTTCTTTCATTCTGGAAATATTACCCTTCTGCAGTAGTTTCTTCCATATAGTTTTTAATAATAACACAAGTTCTGCTCATAAAAGACATTCTGCCAAGTTTACAGTCCCAATCTAGCACATCTAGGATGCAAAGATCCCAGTTTGGGAACTTCTACAGCTTTCACAGCTTTAGCATGAATGTTTAGTGTCAGGGCAAAAAGTCAGTGCAACCCTTCTAACCAGACGTTAAATACCATCTTCTGTAAAATCCAAAATTAAGCAACTGCATGCTCATGTGAAAGCCAATTTTTGGTTTTTTTTTTTGCCTTTGAACATCTCTGTTCCACTAACCTCGATTAAGCCACAAAAAATTATGCAAGCTCAAGATTTTATCTTGTTCCTGGCTTTTAAAACGGAGAGCTGAAACATATTCCAAACCATCTTTTAGCAAAACATAATCATAATTTTTGCAGAAGAATAATAAATTATGGAGAACTATCCTAATGGAAGAAAAAAAGTTACCTTAAAATATTAATTAAACATTTTAAGAACATAAACGCATTATGCTGTGCATTAAACTTACATATAATTTAGACTGTGCATTAATTTTTGCTCATTACTGGGTACTTTTGACAGAGGACAGTCCTTGTCCTGCTCCTGTCCTGTGTCAAGCTCCTTTTACTCAGTACCTACTCTGACAGTCCATATAGAAGCTACCTCACTACTACCATCTGCTCCACTACTAGTCCTTGAGGCTGACCTCTTCTTTGCATGCCACTGACAGCTTGTCATGGTTTTATGATGTTTGGTTATCAGTATTTCGCATCATAACATCATGTAGTGTATTGGGAGTTGAAGAGTTAATGCTCCAGGTCTGGGTACCTGTCCTGGAAGAGAAGAACTGCTACATTCCCCAGAGGACTGCTCGCTCTTCTGTTATCATTTCTGCTCAGGGGGAAAAGATAAAAAGGTCACATGCCGGCCCTTTCAATCGTCTGGCTCGTCTCTTCACAGCATTAGAGTAAGGCCTTCGGCTTTCAGACACTCATTTTATTTGATTTATTAGTTTCAATTCTAATTATATTGTATTTTATTATAGTGTGCCAACTTGCATTCCAATATCTTCTTTAGTAAAATTGTTTCTCCTCAGATTGCTGCTGCTGTTTTGTTTTTGGGCCCATCACTCTATTCTTTTCCCCTTTTTTCCCCTTTTTCCCTTCTGGGGCGTGGGTCTGTGGGTCCCTTTGCACTGCTAGTCACAGAACTGGGCCGAACCAGACCATAAGCCATTGACAAAGCTGTTTTTTTGTTTGTTTGTTTGAAGAGTCCCACACTGAGCAATACACCCGAAGTCACTCTCATCCCATCCCATCTGCTACTCACACAATGCTGAGCACATTTCTGTTCCAAGATCAGTTCTGCTAGTTGACCCCTTCAAGCCAAATACCTAATGTAGGCTACCTCATGGTGCCTGTAATTTCAGACTGCATACAGGGCTAAAACGACCAACACTGAACATTATAGGCCTTTGAGATTGGACAGAACATACACGCCACTGTTAATAGACAACTTAGAACATTAAGAACAGTAACTATATTACTGACTGCTATCTCATGTCACTTCTTGCGCCTCAAAGTGCCCCTACCTTAAAAAAAGTCAATACAAACATAATCACAAGAAGGAGGTTATGTGGACGGTCTCCAGTGAATTCCTGTGTTTCCTTCATGCTCAGGTATTTATTCAGCCATTAGGGGTGAAAGATTTGGTGCTGAGCACATAAGGCTAGATAATACTCACTGCAACCGCTTCCAGGATCTGTTTAACAGCATCAGCAGCATCTCGTTCACTGTAATAACCCTTTTCCACAATCCTATAAAAAAAAAGCAGTGAGAAAAATTGTGTTCAAGATTATGCATTAAGATAAATTAACTCTGCAGACAAAAGCTTCTTTGGAAAAATGAGTGAGAAAATAATCAAATTTAAATACTCTGAGGAGCGTGGAGTCCCCTCTAAAGTATAGGAAATAGTCCTTTGGCAATTCAGGCTATCATTGATTTCAGTTAATGAGAAGACAGAGTTAAGGTGTCAACTCAGTAAGGTGATAGGTAACGTAAGGGCTGCTCCAAAAGTAATGCCTCTTATTTTATTATGATGGCCCACCAATATTCTGTTTCACTTTGTTGCCGTGACACAGATGGCAGCAGAGGTGCAGAGTGACCAAATGTGTTTGACAACAAAGTGCATATGAAGCAAAAGTGTGTCAATGAATTCCTCCATGCAGAAAAAGATGCAAGCATTGACATTCATTGACACTCATTGACATTTGCTGAATTTTTATGGAGTAGATGTGAACACAGAGAAATGGTAGGTGGTACATTTCAACAGTGGTGACAGTGACAAATGGGTAATCTATGCTGGTGGAGATTTTTATGAGGGCAGCATACAGCTTTTCTTCATTAATGTTGAAAATGCATAGCTCATGGCAGTGACTATGTTGAAAAATAGAATTTGCTCTACCAAATAGCGTTCTTGTACTCTTTGTAACTCTTATTGTTTGCATGAAAATAAACAGCAGCCATTACTTTTGGAGGGATCTATAAACGTACACATTCAATTGAAAAGTTTTGCAGTTTTCTGAAATTGAAGAAATATGAAATGCTTTCATACAGATATAACCAGAAATCCTTTAGGAATGGCTGTTTTTTCTTTTTTCTTTTTCTTTTCTTTTTTTTTTTCATTTATAGTTATGTTTTTGTACCCCATTTACGTAAATGGAGTAAAATGAGGTTTATGGCAAAAAAGCATTATGCCAATGCCAGTACAGATCTGGATTGCTTAGAAGAAATGCGTGGTGTGAAAACATTAATTTCAAATTATCCCTTCATCTCATTGGCTACAACAATCATTCGTCCCCCTTCAGCATGAAATCAGGGGCTCTGTCATTAAAAAAATATAGCTTCATTAAAAGTGAAACAATATATTTTTCTTTTTTTTAATGTAAACAGTCAATATGTTTTTTAGTACAAATGACATACAAAACTAAGCTTGTATTTGATGAGTTCCATTACACTTATGAGCTCTGAAGATCTAGAAAATCCTTTTTTTCCTCTTGGAAAAGGGATGCTTTTATATCAATTAAATTGTGCTTATATCATACCAACACAAAGGTAAAACAATGCAAAGTTTACTGTGTGACCAACCTGACTCAGATAACTGTATGTCAGTATTTGTAGGACAGTGTTTTCATTATTCACACTAAAATACTCAGTGGAAGAAGGGCACAGATCCTTAAGATGAAGCAGTTGTGAATTTATACTTTACAGTAAATGTGGGCCCATATTTCAGGACAGCAACACAAGACAACTGTAGAACTAGTGCTCAATGCACATGGCTCACCAGCTTAGGCTGCAAGTGAGTAGTATGCACTAGCAAGCCAATTATTCCTCGTGAGATACGCAGCTAATTTCCTCTTTTTTCAGAATTCTAGAAAACAGACTTAATAAGAATAAAAACACAACTATTAATTAATGACAATATAGCAAGTAGAAAGACTAATCTTCTGTAACAGCAGTAAATGAAAAACTATTCATTCACACTTATTCATTCTATGTATTTTTAGGGGCAGCCTGGCTTAAAACTGAAAACCAGCTCCGAGGCAATAAGGATGAGTACCTAAAGAAGATTCCTGCAATTTAGGTCCTGTAATAATGCTGGGGGATCATCTACATATCTATGCATATTTCTGCACCCTACTTGCAGTAGTTAACGTAAGACAAATGATAGGTGTGACACTGCTTTATTATCATAACACCTGAAGCCAATGAAGCTTCTTTACAAGGATTTTTCTATTTCAGCCTGCATTTTAGCAATGAATCATTGCCCTTTCTCTCCATAAAGGAAAAGATATCTGCAGGAATGTCTTACTCTGTTATTATAGAAATTAAAAAAAATATTTATGCTTAGCTTATAGAAGGATCTTTAAGAAACACTTGGATGAAGAAAAAGTAAACCTTCACTGAGAGAACAGAAAGACAAGAACATTAATGGTAAGGAGCTAATTAATTCCTGCCTTTGATATGTAAATGGAAAGTCAAGTAGATCAGAGCTTAAGGAAAAAAAGTGGGAGGAAGACAGAAGGCAACTGAGAAGAAAGTATACGGGAATGCTATTTCAAGGTCTGAGAAAAAAGAGGTTGGAAGAATTATAAATTTGGTGGCACAAACATTCAGAAAATTTAAGATAGCCCTTCAAATTGATGATGACATTATAGAGAAAGCAAAAATATTATACCAGTGATAGAAATAATCCATATTTTCACTGTGCAGAATCACATTTATGTATACACATTTGACGAAATACATTGATAGTACACAGCCAGACACACCTAACAGATACACATCATGTTGCAGATCTCCTAAAAGGCCACATGCCTGAATGAATCTAAGACAAATCATTTTTCTGCTGTAAGGAAAAGCACTTCTCAAAGGCCTCTACTCACTGCTTTTCTATGGGGCATCTGGGAATGCTGGTATCCAATTATAAAAACATAGGACTGAACAAAACCAGCTCTAGTGGATACTGCCATGCAAATGCAAAGGCAGCCTGCAGAACGGGTGCAGGCTTTTTCCTGTGATCTATTCTATGTAGCAGACAGCTGAAATTTCACAGCCTCCACCTGATCATCAAGACTATTCACAGAATCACACAATGGCCTGGGCTGGAAGGCACCTCAAAGATCATAAGCTCCAATACCCCCCCCCCCCCCCACCACAAAGAGGGCCACCAACATGTTCAATAACTTGCAGTGATGCTCACTAGCTCCCACCTAGTCTTTGTATCCTTTCTGTTCTGTATATTGTGAGGCTTCTGACTATATAGATATTGCAGTCTTGTGGGCACTCTTTAGTGTAGCTGTGAAGATCTCTAGTGCTGCCTTTCTATGAAAGAGAAGGTTCCTCTGCTGCTTATGCCCTTCATTATGCACATCTTCACTGCAGCTATGGCATAAACTTCCATAGGTGTTTCCCACCAGTTTGCAGCCTGCAGATTAAGTTGGAAAGAACACAAGCTGTATTCTACTCCTGTTGGAACACTCTCCTTATAATTTGGGATTGAGCTTTAATTCACCACATCCTTATGAAGCCACTGAAATCGAGAGGGGATCACAATAAAGGCATGCAGAGAGTGTCCCCGCTTACTCTGCTGAAACTTTGTTACTGATGGAAAAGAAATAAGAGTAGGGCGTAGTCCACCTAAATGTAATACATTTGAGCTGAAAATCAATGAGGAAGGAGCTGAGGAATCCTGATAATATCATTTTAAAATCAATTTGCAGAGCAGCATTAAAATTACATTGATACACAATTGTGCAGTTGACTGTAGCACAGGTATCTGGAGACAAGCACGCTAGGTGACAAGATGAAGTAATCAACTTCCCACAGAGACAAAAAAATGAACATTTTATCATGAAAGGATAGCACGAGGCTGGCTGCTGGCCCTCCAGTGAGGTCCTGGCCAGACATAAGTTGGGGCTGGGTGTCCTTCCTCAGGCAGCACAGACTCAGGGAGATCACCAGCCTTTCACAGCAGCAGCTGCTGAAACTTGTGATTCTCAGCACTAGCAGATGGGAGAAGCAAATACTGAGGAGGAACCAAACTGCACAAGGATTGGTTTCTGCACCACATGCCGGACCCCAAAACTGAAAGTCTTTTCCTGATTGTTTTTCTTAGGAAGAGAAATTCATTGCAAAGTCTATCTCCACAGTTTTGAACAGAAGCTGTTTTAGTGACCCTTTGTGACCAAGTAAATCTTACCTATTTTAGCAAACTGACCTTTTCCTCCTCCACTCTCCATACTGACACATTCTCCTATTCTTAGCTTTAACTCCCCACTTCCTTCCTACACAGGCCAAACTTCCCAACCTCCAGCTCAGACTGAAATCTCAGCACAGAAAGTCTTGCTTCCTTCACCTCAGAACGATAAGTGCAGGTAATTTTTATGTAAATCAATCTTAACAGTTATTATAATATTTGCAAATTCTAGACAATGCCTGATATTGTTATTATAAATACCATTTCTCCAAGCTATGGAGCTGCTTCTATAACAGTATTAAGAAATACATAATTTAGCTTTCAAATGCTTATAAACACATTCAGCTGTCCGGAATTAAAAAAAAAAAAAAATCACTTCTACCTTGTATTTCTTTACCAGCTTCCAACATTATTTCTCTTCATATGTTGATGCTAAGCTTATATTTGCTTTTTTGATCATTCATTATAAATATCACAATATCAGAAAAAGGTATCACTCTTGTTAGGGCTATTTTCATTCTTTTTCTGGCTGGCTTTTATGTCACACTCCTGTACCATGTTACTGGTGGTCTGCATCCCATTACATCACATGCAGTACTACTGAGATACTTGCTTACACAAATACAAGATCTATTTGAATAGCACTGTGTGCTGATTTTTTCAATATTTGATTTTATATAATGAATGTTCATTTATCTAAAATTCTCTGGTTACCATGGAGATTTTCTCTGTACATATTCACTTAATTCTTACATAAAGATAATTTAAAAATAAAATTAACGTACTTCTACAAAGTAAAGTAAGCCTGAAAATTAGTCAAAAACAGGGAAAGAAAATGATATCACTCTATTCAATAGCAAAAAAGTTTTCTACAAAGAACACCTTTCCAATGAGTGATTCATAAAATGGCCGATGCCTCTACTGAGAAGGTTTTGATTCCTTATTGTTTTGATGCATTTGTTTAGTTAAAAAGTAAAGCTTCCTCTTTAACTATGGATGTATTTTTCTTAATAAAGCATTGAAGAATAGTATACAATTGAAAAATAGTATATAAATACC